AGCGTGACCTTTAAATAAAATTGACATTAAATTTGCAATTCATCTCACGTATTTCAAGTTTCTGGTGGTGGCGTAATAATAATGTGGCAAGTACTAAGCAAATGGGTGCTTCAGCGTGACCTGGGACTAATACGAGCGTGACCTGGGACTAATACGAGCGTAACCTGGGACTAATAAGAGCGTGACCTGGGGCTAATAAAAGCGTGATCTGGGACTAATAAGAGCGTGATCTGGGACTAATAAGAGCGTGATCTGGGACTAATAAGAGCGTGACCTGGGACTAATAAAGAGCGTGACCTGGGACTGATACGAGCGTGACCTGGGACTGATACGAGCGTGACCTGGGACTGATACGAGCGTGACCTGGGACTGATACGAGCGTGACCTGGGACTAATACGAGCGTGACTTGGGACTAATACGTTCAAAACACATAATTTGGACGTTTGATTTTAATACGAGTGAAAAGTGTCCTGCGAAAAAATCACTTTTTTCTCTCCTAATACTTAACTATTTAATACACTGAAAACTAAAATAGTTTCAAAGCAAGTCTTGTACGTCGAGACATGTCACAACATGTTTGTACTCTTCTAATTTGAAAACTAAAGAAATATTTCTTTCTCGTTCTTCATTTTACTATGGAATCCATAGCCAGTACAACTACTTCACATTTAATAGCTTTGTTTGCATAATTTGAGCTCAGGTCGCTCAGTTTCAATTACCGTGGCCGTGGACAATATCCTGCATTCATCAACAACCCAGTGAAAATTTACAGACGCGGCAGCTTCCGATTTGGATTACCAGAAGCTGGGGCGACTCTAAATTTTGTTAGGGAACGAGCTATTATAACACTGGTATCTATACTTCAGTTAACAAGAGCTGTAAAATGATCTCACGACATAATGCAGGGCATGTTTAGCGCGCTCAACAACATGAAAACAAGTGGAATAACAAAACCTTCACCAAATACTTACTTGTCTTTCCCAAATACCGATTATTTTCCAAATAATTCTTTCTACTAAATGCGTGTCTTTGTTCAGCGTGACACCTTAACGTTCCTGTGATCGAGAAATATTCAAGTTCCAGCTCTGCTGTCTTAGTTTCAGAATCTCGGAATCGTTACATATTTTGAAACGAAAATTTTTTCTCGATACTGCCGCACAATTGGAATATCACTAGTCAAATAATTTATCCCTTCAAATTGTAAATTGATGTGTTTTTAATGTTAATGAGCCTGTTTATTTGGCTGTGAAGGTGATAATCACCTCCGTGTAAATTTCAGTTCTATTGATTATATATACATATACAGTTCTTTAGGTTTTGAACTGATGATGGAGCCTGTCTCTGAAAAGTTTTCCAGTATTTAATGAAAGACTCAAGCCTACAATGTACATATCATATACGGTATGTATTATTGTTCAATAAATTTAAGATCTCATTGACGTTCAATTCTCGACAGGAATGATATAAAGTAATCGATTCATCACTCAAATCGTAATTAATTGTACTAACCTTGTACACAGAGCAACTGAAGTGGATCTTAGTATTAATCTCAATTTTATCACTAAGAAAACCCTAATACAATAAAGCGTTTAGTGCGCAATTCAAAATTAATAATGGTCCAGCAAGGGAGGAATTGAAATGTGTGGCGTGTTATCCGTAGACTGGCGGGAGGCGAGTTGCAGTTATGGCAGCGTTCCAACGAGTGTCAGCGCTCCAATGTGTGTCAGCTGCCTTAGGCTTTTGCTGATCGTGGCTGTCAGTTATGGCTTCACGCTGCCTTTTACTGCTCTATAAATTCTACGCTCGACGGTCAAACTGTTTACTCCAGAGTGAACTGTGCGAGCCAGCGTCAGAGCACAATCCTTACGTTTACAGTTTTGTTACGTTTAAACTGAGTGTACTTGGTGTCTTTATTATTGTGTTGAGTGGATGTTCCAATTGTGTTCTATTTGATTTGTTTTTATAAACAACTATATGGATGATCTGAGTTGCAGTTTTAAATAGTTTTCTGTATAACATTTCTTTTTTAACAAATTTGTATAGTTCGAGCGGCAGGTCAAAATTGTGTTCTAAGTAACTGGATTTTTATACACAAATCTAAATAATGAACCTTGTGCATTATTTTAACAGCGCTTCGAAAATCCATCGCGTTCTCCTATAACCGATAGATATAAATAACAGCGGCCGGGGAACCCCGCGTTGCCCGGGATCGATCATTTCTGAGCCTCCTTGAGGTTCCATTTACTGTGACATCCATTCAATTAAAAGATAAAAAATTTAACTCAGTACTCACTGCAGTGAGTGACAGAGCGCATTTTCTCGTCCGTCCGTGACGTGAAGTCACGGACGGACATGACGAGCACAATAGCACCTTTTTCCCATAAATGAGAAAATGCGCTAGAAACAATCCCGAGTTGTCTGAGGATTTTCAAAGTTAATTGAACCGTTTCTAAAGTCTTTTCCTATGTTAGTAATGTCGTTGTGTTAGTAATGTTCATTTATTTGAACTTTGAGCCCATATTTCTATTTGTTTTTGACCAGAGACTTAAGCTCGTTTCGCGCACAGTCTGAGGAGGCATTCATCTCGATGAGTGCAGTTGGAGGCTCTACAGTCTAAGGTTGAGACTTGAATGCATTTAATCCGTGTTTCGGACAGTAGGACTTAAAGTTTCTGTCAAATATCAGGGATTTTATGCAAGCTCTCCCAATTGGAGTTGGGACTTGAATGCATTTAATCCGTGTTTCGGACAGTAGGACTTAAAGTTTCTGTCAAATATCAGGGTATTTATGCAAGCTCTCCCAATTGGAGTTGGGACTTGAATGCATTTTATTCGTGTTTCGGACAGTAGGTCTTAGCGTTTCTATCAAGTATCAGGGTATTTATGCAAGCTCTCCCAATTGGAGTTGGGACTTGAATGCGTTTAATTCGAGTTTCGGACAGTGGGGCTTATAGCTTCTCTTCCTAACCGATCTGAATTTATGCAAGCACTCCCCTCAAGTATAGTGTCGTACAGTAGCCACATTCATGTATTGTGTGCTGCATTATTATCCCTTGAGGCAAATGGCGTTGAAAAACGTTGCTCACTAATTGATTTCGTTGAAACCACAGCTGATCAACGTTATTTCAACGTGTGGGCCCTGGTGTAGTAAAAGCCCTGAATCCTGCATTCAATTTATTGGAAATAACGTTAATTACGAATTGATTTCGTTGAAACAACGTTCATCAACATTTCAACGTGAGCGGCCCGCTTGAGTAGAAGTCCCCAGGTCTAGTTGTGTGCGGTGCAGAGTAGAAGGTCTAGAGCAGGTCTAATTGTGTGCGGTGCAGAGTAGAAGGTCTAGAGCAGGTCTAGTTGTGTGCGGTGCATGTGACCCCTGACATTCTCGCGCCGTCAGGTCACCGGCGCTACCAGAGCCTCAGTTTGCCCACCAACTTCCGCCGCGCCTCTGCCGCGTCTGGCCGCTTTAAGCACTTCTGCCTGTCTTGCATCGTCTTGTCCATTATATATCCACAATTAACACTTATGACGTGTAATTGAACGTTTTTTAGTTGAAGCAACTTTCATTGAGCCTTTTTTGTAAATTATTAACAACGTACGGTAAATTATTAATAATTTTTAATTACCAAAGGCACTGAACATTTTGTAGAATTAAACTTGCAACTGTAGAGTCGATTTTTGGTGCATTAAAAACGTGAAATTAAGACACTGGTGCCGACTGCAATAGCATGAAGTCCAGCATTAAATACTAGTTTACCATCTGTCCTGCTTCATGGACATATAGTGCGTCTAGTATTGTCTATGCTCTCTTGTGGAGGAGGGACAGTTGTAATTATGTCCCTGCTAGCTGAAGTGGAGGAGGGACAGTTGTAATTATGTCCCTGCTAGCTGAAGTGGAGGAGGGACAGTTGTAATTATGTCCATGCTAGCTGAAGTGGAGGAGGGACAGTTGTAATTATGTCCATGCTAGCTGGAGTAGTCATTTTTGGCTTTCCTTGTTTGATGTCGCCTTGGCTTGGTCACGTGTAATTGCGCGGTCTGCCGTGAACGCCACTCTCGTCATTAAATTTCCTGTTGAATTCTTAGCAAGTTACGTCCATGGTCTCTGAACCTAACTCACTTTAACAGATATTTTTTGCCATCCCATGGCTTTGCTTGGCCACCTTGACTTTGAACAATACCGTATAGCACTGCCTGAGAACACGGCAGTGCAGATCATCTATAGAATGGGTGCTGTACAGCACTGCCTGATAACACGGCAGTGCAGATCACCTATATAGAATGGGTGCTGTATAGCACTGCCTGAGAACACGGCAGTGCAGACCACCTATAGAATGGGTGCTGTATAGCACTGCCTGAGAACACGGCAGTGCAGATCACCTATAGAATGGGTGCTGTATAGCACTGCCTGAGAACACGGCAGTGCAGACCACCTATAGGATGGGTGCTGTATAGCACTGCCTGAGAACACGGCAGTGCAGATCACCTATATAGGATGGGTGCTGTATAGCACTGCCTGAGAACACGGCAGTGCAGATCACCTCTAGGGTGGCATGTCCGTGTAGGAGCTTCTTCATGCGGATCAATACGGGCATTTCCTCTTGAGTGGTCGTGTCTAGACCCTGCCACTCAGCACCCACCAGCTTTAGGTTTTATTTTTTCTCTCCGTAGTCCGTACAGAAACATTTCAGGAAGTTGTACTCTGATGGACGCTCTCGGAACGCAATATCGGTGCTAGGGCCGCGGTTAATTTTTTTACCGCTTCAGTGCATTATCTTCATCAACTCCTTGACAGCCCTCGCTTCTACCTACAATAACTTTGGCTTCGTGTTGCCATCTTTGCCCATTTATGCATGTAAATGCCACTTTTTTCTATTGCTGATATTTTTAGCAATATTGTTATGCTGGTATTGGGTTAATGATTTCTGTAAATAAACAATAAGTATAAATCACATCTCGGTGTAGTATAAATCACAAGTAACTCGGTGTATTTTTTTCAGGTGTAACGTCCTCTGCGAGTCTCAGTGAGGCGCTCTCTCAGGTCAGTCTCTCTTTATAGTCAGTACATACCTATATATGCTATAGTTAATACTACTAATTATAATCTTTATTTAGTTGCTATTTCTTCAGAATAGGTAGAATAGATACGTATGTACTATAATTTTGTAATTATTATTTATTCGCAATTTCTTCCCATTATAGTGCCTTCCATGCGAGACTGAGTCGACTGATTTATGCCGTTGTGTTCGTGTTCGTGCTGGAGCTTAGTATTTAGTATTTGTAAGGGTTTTCTGTTTAACTTTAGTCTAGAACAATGATGTTCTGCATTGCTCGCAACATTTTCAAGTAGTTTTTTTAAGTATAGGAATGGTGCCATTTTGAAGTGATTTCTTTAATATAACTACATATGCCAGTGTAAATTCGAGTCGAAATTTGTTTTAGATGTCAAAACAAATTCCACGTTTTGTTTCAATTCTAAAATTTGCTTAGTAGCCTCAAAGCTTTCTAAATAATTGTTAAACTATCATCTAAAAAGCTTTTTATTTTCATGTTATAAAAATTAAACACCGACTGAATAGTTTTATAAATATTACTGCTTCATCCCTCTAACTTGTTCTATTCAGGAAACATCACAATGACGTGAAATGAGGAAAAATCACCAGATAACACCTCCATATCCAAGCTGGTATCGCTCATTTTGCGATTCTCCCAATTTTCGCCGTTTTTGGCCATTTTTGTCAAGAAATAAGAACCACAAAAGAGCAAGCAACTATTTTATGTTGGACTTATGTACGTTGTATGTTTACTATAATTCTCAACATACGTTGATTTAATATGCAAATGTTGTTTTTTAAAATCGACTATAAATGTTCTTTATTTTGTAGAATTTTGCTCGCTGGTCCACTAGCTATCCAAGCCAAAACTTTTCTACTATGTGCAGTTATAGTCAAAATTTGGAAGGGGCGCGTTCATTTCTTCCGAAGTAATAGGAAAAGAACTCCCAAGTGTTACGCTATGTATCGGACATGATGCATGCCTGCCGACGTCTAAATGAGATTTATTGAGGAGCATCAATTCCCATACGATTTATGTCGCTTTTTCGGCTTGTTTCTTTGCCGGCAAAGCCCAAGTTGCTGTGTTCTTCTAAGGCCCCGGAAAGGCAGAGTTTCTGGGTTTTAAGGGTATCGGGAAGGCAGAGTTGCTGTGTTCTAAAAGCATCGGGAAGGCAGAGTTGCTGTGTTCCAAAGGCCGGGAAGGCAGAGTTGCTGTGTTCTAAGGGCTGGGAAGGTAGAGTTGCTGTGGTCCAAAGGCCGGGAAGGCAGAGTTGCTGTGTCCTAAGGGCCGGGAAGGCAGAGTTGCTGTGTCCCAAGGGCCGGGAAGGCAGAGTTGCTGTGTTCTAAGGGCCGGGAAGGTTGAGTTGCTGTGTTCTAAGGGCCGGGAAGGTTGAGTTGCTGTGTTCTAAGGGCCGGGAAGGCAACTTCTGCCTCGCTATTTTCGACCGGGACGCTGCCATGTCGATCAAGCCTCCGCTTGATTGCAGCCTTTGCGGTTTTCTCCTACATTTTTGCCATGGCTTCCTCTATGACTTGCTTCTGCAGCAACTACAAAACCAATTCTCTTCATTATTAACTTTAATGCAATTTAATGCTTTGAAATATAATATAATATTACTAATATGAATGATAGAAATCTAATAAATAATGAAACGTAAAAAAATCCTGTTCGTTTTTATTTATTTATTTATTTTTTTTTTGCTGGGACTTTTTGTGTGATCTGCGTTTGAAGATTAGCGTAGCCCTGAAAACGGAAAACCCGAGCTCTGAAAAGTTTCTATTATTTGTAGAAGACAATGACAAGCCTTGTTTATGTGTAACCGACACAACACGCTGATCTGCATCGTGTACCATCTGGTACATCATACCAATCACCGACGAGAAATCGGCCGCTACGTGTCCTTAGTCCTTAGTTTGAAAATAAAAAGAAATCGATCCTTAGTTTGAAAATACGGTCTCTGGTCTTGTCAGGACGTGGGTCGTCTATGGAATTGTACAGCTCACTGTATTAAGCGTTGTCTATATGTGTCCAGTAACCGCGAATAAGTACCATAAATGGATTTTTGCTTCGCGGCTACAAAGCGCAGGATTGCCATCATAAACATTCAGAAATTTCTTGACATTTTACCTTAGGTAGTATGGAATAACATTTAATTATGAGCTAAATATAACTATTTTTAAGTCAGTTATCCTGGCTTTTTCCCGACATTTTCAGCAGTTCTGGGTGGATTCGTCGATCGCTGCGTCGAATTAGTTACAAACATGGCGTTGGGTTTTGTATAATTTCTTTAACTCAGTTGAAACTTTAAAGCCGAATGTTTTGTTTTTCCTATTTTTTCAAGGGGCAGGGTTAAGATTTTGTCTTTCAATAAATGATTTATTTGCCAGTGTTCAGTTTGAAAGGATTTGAGGGTTACTTACCTAAAGTTACCTCCCAGGTGAATGATGTTGATTACGAAATTATTTCGTTGAAACAACGTTATTTCAAGGTTATTTCAAGGTTAGACGACTGGTGAGATATGGAGGGAAATTCTTAGGATTAGAGGAGCGGCAGGCAGCAGCGCGAGCCGCTCTCTGCTGCAGAACTGGCCCAGCACCTCGCCTTTAAGGGTGACCTCCAACTGCTGCCCCTCATGCCCCTCGCTCCGGCTCTCTTGCCCTTCACTCCGGCTCTCGTGCCTTTCACTCCGGCTCTCGTGCGCCTCACTCTTTCCCCTCAATCATCCCTCTCACTCGCGCCCCTCGCTCCGGCTCTCTTGCCCTTCCCTCCGGCTTTCGTGCCCCTCACTCCTTCCCCTCACTATTTCCCCTCAATCATCCTTCTCACTCACACCTCTCACTCGCGTCTCTCACTATTTCCCCTCAATCACCCCTCTCACTCGCGTCTCTCACTATTCCCCTTCAATCATCCCTCTCACTCGTGCCCCTCGCACACCTCGCACACACCCTTATGCTGTGTTCACATCGTGATGCCAGGATGATAAGTTGCTCGTGTACAAGTTTTTTATCGCCCGGGCAATTAACGACGTACACGTTGCACTGCATCAGGCCGCTACTTCTATTCTACGTGTAAGTGTACGGCGTACTCAGGAGCTTCTGTGTCCGCAGCGCTGAGAGTTTTGGGAATGATTTGATATAATATATACTTGCAAATATGTCGTCTGATGATACTAATTTAAAATGTTTAGTTATTTTCATGAAAGTGATGCTACGGGTGAAAAAAGTGTCGTGATTATTATAGGTGCAATTTACTGTTTTGTACCTGCGATTACCTGGGCAGCAACTGTGCTCATGCACCAGTGGGTGATCTACTTACCGGTGACCCACCTGCTCTAATGGGTGTCTCACCCACCCACCCATACCGCCATTGCAAGGGGTGTCTCACCCGCCCATGCACCCATACCGCCATTGTAAGGAAAAACTTGCCCTGACCGTGACAGGTAACAAGCGCGCGGCACGCTACGTACCTCTCCCTCCCGAAATACCGCTAAGTTAACCTTGGAATTTCTCGACGTATGTTACCCATCATTCATTTTTCTCGAGTGGGGTAGAAGCTTCTCAGAGATAACTAAATTTTTTCTCTCGGGAACATGTGATTTATTAGTGGCCTTTGACGTCACTTCATTTGAAAGCGTGCCGCCATCATGACTCCAGAGTTAAGATTAACCCTTAATTTGACGAGGATCGTGTGACGCATTAGGAACCTGGCTTAAAACATAGATTTTAAATCTTGCCTTCAGGCGTAACGAACGATCTCGAGTGCCTTTTCTAACGCTCCGCTGTTAATGCTCTCGTTAAGAAGATCTTGGCACTATAACAGTGTCGTGCTAGGGTTTACTCTCGTTAACTCAACGCGAGATATCAACCGATATGCATGTCATAATTTAAAAGTAACAGAAATATTGTTGTTGTGATCACAACAATTGAAATAGCTGACGAGCTGCGTTTGATCACTCGTACATTCATGCCAATTTAGAAACGTGAGTGAACCGCGGAAGTATATCAACCATTATCACTTGTGCTGCAACACTTGTGTGTGTTGTGCCGCAACACTTGTGCCACATTGTGCACAAGTGTTGTGGCAATTTACAATATTCATTTAAATTGATCCCTGCACCTGCAACTTGGCTACCTCTTCTCCGCGTTTTAGTCCCGCATGTCTGATACTTGAATTATTTTAAGTTAATGTCTAATTAGTTCATTTGCTTTAAGTTTCGGGCGCTCATAATATACTGATTATAGCCTACAAAATATATTGCAATCTTGCTCCTTTTTCCGTTAATGTTTACGAAGCACTTTTTAATATCCCTGGCGTTTCTTCAGCAGCGCATTGCTTCGTCCTTGCCAAGTCTGTGGTGCAGTAAAGTAATCTGCCCGAGCCATCAATTGCTCTGATCTTCGCTGTCATCTACATCAGGCTTCATCGTATAGTTCTCTCTTTATCGCCGCGGCTCTGTTCTAGTTTTGTCTTCGATAGTTATGTGTCGTTGCTATGGTATTTACCCTCTTTAAATCTATGTATTTATTCCGTAAATCCGTATTTACTGAAGGTAATGCTCGTAACCAGGTTTTTAAATACAAATAGCTTTGTGACGAATGTTTATGTATCCACAGACAATAGGTTAACTATTTATCTACTGACGGTAACTCTCGTTTTACCAAAGTTAAGACACGAATAGCATTGACGTCTGTTGATGGTTCCGTGTAAAAAGGACCTAGAAAAAAAAAAGAGATGCAACTCTCGTAGCTCAAATGGTGCGCATTTTTTAACGCATTTACGGCCAGCGCGCTCAAACTTGTCCCGTTGGATGGCAGCGTGGAGCACGAGTGCGTCTGAGAGTCTTGAAATATCGTAAAACTTTTTACCGACGCGCTCGCTCATCGCCGATGTGGGGAGGGTCGATCTCTCCGTCCTTGTCAGCCACGTGACGCCAGTTGATGCTGTGACAGATGCCCTGCACCTGCTATCTGGATACAGCTGCAGCTG